ATAGGGACAACCTTGAAAAATTTTAAACACTGGGGAAAAATATTTTCACTTATACAATAGTTAATTAAATCAGTGCAAGGTATTAATATTGGGCCAATTGGGATTTTAAAATTTTTATTGAAATATTATATACATCCAAACGGGTTTGCTCTCAAAACTCTTAACAATATCAATGACTTCCCAAAGGGCACTTCAGAAAAGGAAAAACTATTCACTGAACGGCGTAATTGGAGGCAGCAATTTAAATCGGTATTATTATAACAGGTAAATTACTTATAACATTGTTAGCAACATTTATAAAGTAATTATTAAACTTTTCTCCCGATACAAGGGAGAATATTTTGGAAAGATTTTATAAACTATGTATTTTTGCTTCTTTGTTAATTATACAGTTTGTAATGTCAATTAGATTTTAAACACACTGTCGAGATTAATATTCCTGACAATATTAATTCAGTGCAAAACTGTTGGTTTTATTTTAATCATGCATAATTCAACCGAACAACTTTATGTTTGATCTAAAATGTAATGTGCTTATGTAAATCCTTATTGTACCTCATACTAATTTGAATATGATTGGTTTATTTAGTTTTGCAGCCAGTGGCCGAAATATTTTGTTTAATTTCAGTTTAAACACCCCATATTTAAAGTACGGCGGTTTTTCGGATTGGTATGTCGTCACCAATGTACTTGGTCGCCGCTAAGGATCCTAGATTTGTCGTTTTCGTTCTCGGGCTAGGTTGTATGGGGGTGAATCCGCTATCAGAACCCCTAGACACGCCTTGATGCTCATATCGGTTACGCTAACGAAACCGCTTTTCAAGCAATGGTGATCTTCTGAGACGTTCTCCAATGGCCTCTGTAAAGGTTAAAAAAGTATTAAAAAAGCCCTGTAATTCGCATATAAAGTAGTTTTGGACAAGATTATACTTATTTCATCTTCAGATCTTCTTTCAGATGAGTTTCAAGATTACTTGACAGCATTTTTACTCCATCAGTTAAATACAAATATATTTTTTTAAATTTTTCTAGTACCTATTTATTTATTAGAGTTTTTCAAAGTGAAATATTGCCTAAATGCATTTATTTGCTTTTTTTCTTGATTTTCCAACGTGAAATATAAAAATTGCCAAATAATAGTAAATGAAATGGCTTGCTGATCATTATGGCATAATGTGTTGCGGCTTCACCGCAAAAGGGTGTTATTGTAATTACAATTCATTTTTAAAATATATTAAATAAATTTTCTATTCTTTTTCATTTGTTGCAACAACATGTTTCTTTCGAGTTTATTCACTCAAATACGAAAATCCTTCTTATTTTTACGTACTGTTTTTTGTTGGAGATGGTTTTTGTATATAATTCAATTCATTCCATTCGAGAGACTCGACATAGTAACAAGTGCGTGTGATTCCCAACTCCATAAGAAATAAATAGACAGCCGCATCAACATCTTCAACACATCAGAAGGGCCCTTCAAGAACATAGGAGTTTCAAAGGAGGTAAGCCATCTCCAACCATTTTATTTCTTTATTCATACAGTCCACCACTTTGAATAACCGTGGCGTTATAACATAATGCTTTCTTTGGTTTGTTTTATTTCTTCAATTTTCCGTTATAGCAAGATTTCCTAAATCAGATAAGTGATTTAAATTTCTTGAAAAAGTATTTACTTCAATTTTCATGACAACTTATACAAGAGAATGTTTATATGCCTGGACGTATCAATTTTTTTGCGTTTCTCCATGAAGTAACTACCGATTAACCTATATAAGAGCGATTGCATCTAGTTACTATAATTTATTTTAATCCACAGGCAGTTCTCCGCCTTTAACGGTAAATGTCGACGGTATTTTAAGTGCACAAACTTGACGGGTGCTCTACTTGGCATCATTAATTTCTTTTATTATATTTGGAAAGACTGAAGTCATTAGCAACGCTTTTAAAAGATACATCTATTGACGTCCAGAACTAGTACTCGTATGATTTAAAAAATAACTGTGAATAAACTGAACGTTGATATATTGATTATAATTATACAGCTATTGTTTTCAGTTTCAGAATTTTTCCCTGTTTTTGGATTTCCACAAATGGCAACAATTTCCTACGTGTGGTTATATTATAAATAACTATCATCAGATTTGATGTTGAAAATTGTGTATTTTGTGGAAAAAAATTAATACTTCCGTCGAAGAAATCAACCAATGCTCGTTTTATTATTTCTGTATAATTAAAAATGCCACACTGAAAAATACACACAAATAAACAACAAAAACATTTAATTTATCTTACAAAAATTAATCTGTATTAATTTTCAAAATTGATGTTTGATTTAGTTAGAGGTAAATCCTCTGGCTGAAGAGTCAGTTTAAATAATTAAAAAAAACATTTTCAGAGGCTGCAAAATATGCAAATAAATAGAGAACATGTTAAACTTACGCCACAGATAAATAATTTTAGACAATTTCTTACTTTGTACCTACCTAGAAATAATGCATTTATTGAGTCTATTAAAAATAACTGGTTTTTAGTTACTTAACTTAAATTTACTCTAAGGAATGTCATTAAATTGCTTTAGCCAAGCTATTTGAGAAAAAATTCTTTACTATTGAGAAAAGTATTTCTATTACAGCATATGAGAATGGAACAAATTTTCAAATAAAAACGCATCTCTTTATTCTTACAAAGAGTGTCACAAATTAGTGGGCCAATCAGCCACCCATAGATTCCTTGCGCGGGACATTTATTGCGCCACTTTTCATTTCGGCGCCCGTTTTCGGGATACAGGATTTAAAACTGAGATTTAAAAAAATTAACTTGATAACTGTCGATTTTTAACACTAAAGCCTAAATGAAAATTTTTCAAAAGTCACAAAAATTAGGGAAAGAAACGTCGATATTAAGTATTAATTAAAATTCTTTTGAAAAAATAATATAAAATTCAATCATTATTTTGCAATTTTCTCCAAAACTTAAGACAGAAGAAAATAACAGCTTAAATACATAATTAGTATATAGTAAAGTGGTCCGTAAGTAATGGTCCATAGTGACATACTAGTTTTTTTACTTCAAAATATTACGATTGGAGCCAATATGCCTTAATAAAATGTTGATAACAAAAAAGATAAAGGGTGTCAAAGTTGGAAATTAAAAATTCAATTTTCGTAATAATTATAATATTTTTGAGTGTATGAACGTGAAAATTTAGGCGTAGATGTTTTTTTATACGAAAAATCATAATTTGTTATCTATTTCGATGTATCTTCTAGAGGGCGCCACATACGCCGTGTTTATGACGTAAATACGAGCATAATTTTTTTTATCCACAACGTTAACGCTTCTTTTTCTTAAAAATCTTAAACCTACATTATTTTCGTGAAAAAATGGTATACTTGTCATTAGCTCTAGAAATTGTCCGTTTTCAAGAAAAACGCATTTCAACAATCTGCTGCATGTTTCATTACAGGAAATTTTATCGTAGTGTGCGACAATGCCAAGACAGATTCAAGTATGTAAACTGACGGTATTGTTAAGAATATGTAACTGTTTGAAGTGCTCCCGACAATTATGTCTGCATTTTATTCCAGCCAAAATTCTAATACATTTACGTTGTAAACCAAAAATTTTATCACTGTGAGACGATTGACCCCTGTTCAAAGTTGCATAAGTCATGGTGGTATGAAAGGTACCATAATATGCAGACATGAGTACAGGCTTAGAGACTATACGATCCAAATTACGCAGTAGGAAAATATTCTTAGATAAACGTGCGCATAAATCATTGACATGTTTTTCCCAACTCAATTTCGTGTCAAAGTGAACCCCAAGAAATTTAATGCTATTTGGGTTATCACAAGTATTGATATGACGGAGTGTAAAAAGTAACGATTGAGTTTTGTCAACATTTAAGTTCATCTATTAGCAATAAACTAGTCCTTTATCAGCGGCAGCGTATCTAGTGAATCCTCTGTGAGTTTAGTGAAGTTATTATTTGACTTTAAAGCGGTAGTATCATCGGTAAATAAAATTAAATCAGTAGTTATATCACAATTTGGAAATTCATACATACAGATAAGAAATAGAATAGGGCCCAATACTGAGCCTTGGGGAACTCCATGAACTATTTCTGTTAGGCGTGAAGAGCAAGAATTATAAAAACATAGGTATTGAGTTCTGTTCGATAGATAAGATTCAATTCAATTCAATTTAAGAGGGTTCTGTGCGACACAGTCAAATGCCTTAGTCAGATCGTAAAAATTTCCACTGACAACATTGTTTGATTCGAAACTGTTTAAAATAATCTTAGTTAACTGGATAATAGCTAAAGTTGTTGATCTTCTGTTCCTAAATCCGTATTGACTTCCAAGATGCTGCGTGTCCGGAAAGCTTTTTTACTTATTTTAACCTTAGTATCTCTTTACAGTTTGTGTACTTTCTAGTGGGACATCCTGTATATTTTATTTTGTTAAGTATTGTTTGATCAATGTTTGATTTTTAACATCGTGCATTTCTGAGACTTGAATTTCTGAATTTTATTTCTGAATTTCTGAATTTTTGAATTTTTGAATTTTTGAATTTTTGAATTTTTGAATTTTTGAATTTTTGAATTTTTGAATTTTTGAATTTTTGAATTTTTGAATTTTTGAATTTTTGAATTTTTGAATTTTTGAATTTTTGAATTTTTGAATTTTTGAATTTTTGAATTTTTGAATTTTTGAACTTTTGAATTTTTGAATTTCATTTCTGAGAAATAAATTTCATTTTTGCGATACGAATTATTTTGTTACTCAGATTGGGAAAATGCAAATGAAAATGGAAAATCTGAATACATAGAGTTTGACACTTGATAAAAAATACGATAAATTTATTAATGCAATAAGAATTTCAATAATACATGCGCTTTAATTTTTCTTGAGATATTTAATAAGTTCAAACGAAGTCTGAATTAAACATTAAAATAATAGTTCGGTAGATCAAAAGGAGAAGGAAGTACAATCGAATGTATTTGTTAGCTGAACTTTATTGTCTTATTTTCTACTGACCAGATACATTAGGAAAATCGTATTACAAATGCGTGGTACAATAAACTAATAATGATGACCCCCTTTGGACCCGATTCCTTGGGAACTGGCTGTAGCCACGGCCACTCCAGCTGCAGCTGCGTTGGACTGGGCAATCTGTGCGGCTTCGGCTGCCTTCTGGGCGGAGATTTCGGTGTCCTGCAATTCGGCGACGGCGTTCTGGATGCGGCTGAGAATGTGAGCGACGCGTTGTTTGGCCTCAACGACCATGGACTGTTGGGCGGCTGATACCCTGGCAGCTTCAGCAGCGGCTTGTTGGGCGTTCTGGGCGCCGCTTTGGACCGCAGAGATAGCGGCGCTCAAGCTGGTGACTTGGGCCTGAGCTTGCTGGGCTGTAGAGTGAGCGGCTTGAGCTGCAGCTTCGGTCTGTTGGTACTGGGTGATTTCTTCCTGGAGCTGTTGTTGAGCATCGGTCAGCTGTCTTCTGAGGTTTTGGACAATGGCTTGTTTGCCTACGAGGGCAGCTTGAGCGGTTTGGGCGGCCTAGAGAAAGAGATATACGTAAACTACCTGTGGTAATATTAGTCTTTGTTAAACTCAAAACTTGTTTGAAACTATTTACAATTGTTCTAAGTTAAATGAACGGTTGGACTGTTTTGAGTGATAGGACATAGTTTTCCTAAGACTAGATTTTGGTAAGACAAACTTTTGGGAAGTGGGTGGAACAAGAACACTCTCAATACTGAGAACTCAAGAGAAGGATAGACTAACGCGAAGGGAATGTTGAATTTTCCATAGCAGAAAAGAACAAATGCTGAGTTTGAGTAAGATCAGACTCGGGGAAATTGCTAGACTATTAAAAATACACTGTTATGGAAGAAGTATCCCTACAACATTAAATTAGTACAGGATTCAATCTGCGAAGGTTTCAAATAAAGAAGTTGCATGTCCTGGATTAATGCGGTAGCTTTGCTCATCAGATATTTAACCAACTTCGTAAATCTTTCTAAAGTGAGTATTAAGGGAAATATCGGATAGCAAATTTTTGGGCTTTACACAAAGAACAAATTTGCTTGACGAATAAACAGATATTGATAAACATTATAGACCCGAATTGCCTCCAGAGTTTTAGAAATCTTTGAAGAATTGAACCGCAGCTTAAATGAAACAATATAAGCAAAAATCTTTTTCTTACACCAAAAGCAGCACTAGCGAAGCTGCTGGCGATGCCAAAGGCGGCTTGACTGCCTGCTGTGCGTTGGTTTTGGACAGCGTTGTTGGCCTGGACAGCGGAGCTATGAGCGAGACTGGTGAGTTCCGCGCCATTGCTATCGGAACCACCGTGCTCTTCAAACTCTCCGCCATAACCACCAGCTTCATAACCACCGGAAATTGCGTGGATGGCTCCCAAATCGTGGCTCGCCTGGGGTTGGGAGTCGGCGGCTTGTTGTTTGGAACCTCCAGCGGAGGCGACACCAGCTAAAATAATAATAATCGCAGTTTAGAGTTAATCAAATACGCAACATAAATTCGCATACGCACACGAAAATAAAACTGACTAAAAATGACTAAGAATGTCGGTTTAAAATATAATTACATTTTAATATTACATTATTAACTAAAAATTAGAAGATACCTTTTATTAATTACTGTCTAATTGGTATAATTAAGAGTAATGAAATAATGAGCCAGTATCATCAACTCTTGTATACTATTAATAAATTGTGTTAGAAAAAACGATGCGAAAAGCATGACTTACCGGTGCAAACAGCGATTAACATGAGGCGGAACATGACTGAAATTAAAATGTAAATTTTTTAATAGTCCATTTATAATTAAGTCAACAACTTACTTTTAAGTAGATTTGGGAACTAATCCAGATAGTTATGAAGCTAGAAACCACTGACGATTAAAGATTCCGACTTGGTATTTATATTAAAATTTGGAACGGTTGCCAATTTATTAGGGTGGGGTTCTGAAGTGCTTCACTAAAAAAAATAATTGCAGGTGCACATACTGTAACGATATGTAAAATTATTTGTATCTGCAGACGTTTTACATTTATATTCCTTTAATTAAAAAAAATTGCACAAACATTAATTTCTCTTTGGAGTTGTGTAATTAACGTATGTAAGGTTGAATAAAAAATATTCAATACATATTTTTTTCTATAATTTCATATGCGTGGCATTGGAGTAAAATAATGCATTACTTTTTCCATTGCAATAATTATCTCAGAAAGAATATGATATGAGAAGGTTCATTGTTTATTTTTTCTTATTTATTTAGCCTAGATATCTGATTTACATATACAGGGTGTCTCAATATTTGGTGTGTCAGAATAAAATGTTATAACTAAAAATCTTTCAATATCAAGAATAGAATAAAAGAACTTAGTTTCTTTGTTATATTTCTTCTTTCTTTAACCTGTTTAAATTAAAATTTCGTACTTGTGTACGTCACCTTTTGACATAATAACCGAAATAATTACGCATTTACGGAAACGAGAAATATGATCATATTTTTTAAAGTTTTCAACTTTCGTTTTTTATCACAAAGGTGAGGGTTTTCTCTATTTCTTTTTGTTTTGAATTTTTTTATTATTTGTAATGATTATTGTGTAATATAAGTGGTGCCAATTTTCTCTAAATTTCGTGAAAAAATAGTCAATTAAACGTTTCTAAGTGACCTCCACCACTAATTTATAAGTAAATCAAATATTTGAAGAGAAGGCACTATTTATGTCGTAATATATTCATACAATAACAATTAAACTGGTGGACAATGATGAAACTGATGAAAGAGGTAGATTATATTTTGCTATCGGTCTAGATCCCATTATGTGGAGCTTATTATAAAAGCAATTTGCAGAAACGAAAGGCTATACATACAGTGTACCTTTATTATCTTATATCTTATATATTTTATAATCAAGATGCTAGAATTAATTTTTTTATTTTATTTTCATTTTGCGAGATAATCTTCTTTCGAACTAAATAATATTTTAAAGCTTAATTCCTTTAATACAATTTTTTTCTTTTGATACTTGCATTATTATATACAGGACCTAATATACCTAAGTAAAATGTATGACTAAACTTTAATGGCTGATTCAAAGTTAATGAAAAAGTTGCTTTAAATCGGAGAATTCATTTTCGAAATGATGAATATAAAAAATAAATCATTATTTTTAAATTACAAGGAAAGGTTGAAGCGATTTCATTTAAATATGGTAATTTTTTTGCTGCTTACAAATACAGGGTAAGTAGCGAGAATCGCACCAAACTCCAGAAATTGATTCTACACGTCAAAATAATAGGAAAAAACTCAAATATTGTTATGCGACATCCATTTGTTATATAGCGTAATTACAAATATTAAAAATTTGAAATCAAAGTATATCCAAGTTCAAAAGCAGGATATTTGTCAGTGTCATTTTATGTTGCAATAGTTTAACATTTGATTACATATTTGTACGATCAAAGTGTTACAAAATGTCAAGGACTTATTTCAAATTTAGGTTGTTTATGGTTTTTGTAAGGGTAATGCCAATGTGCTGTTGAATAATATCCTCAACGGAGTCTACATCACAGATGTTTTGATAAAAATGTATTTATCAGAGTATTCAACAAACTGTGCGAAACCGGTGTCCACAGCAACTTCGTTGTACGCGTGATTCTGTTCGTGTGCGTTCAGGAAACATTTTTGCACACACTCGTCGCTTTCTAGATAACGCTGGGGAGGCTGCGACACCGGAAAGCGTCTCAGTACTAGCCGGTATAACACCTGAACGAGCCCTTCGTCAATATTTAGAAGAAACAGAAAATCTTCTGAGTCTAGTAGAAGATGATGCAACTACCAGCTCACGAAGAATTGCTCTCAATTGGGCATTCCACAAAAAAAAAGTAATAAAAACCAGCCACGAGCACATTCACCTATGTGTGCGGTGCCCCTATTACTTGGCCTCCAAGATCTCCAGACCTCATATCATAAGTTTACTGTTTATGGGACTGGTTCAAAAATGTACAAAGTTAGAGTGAACACTCGGGAGGCACTAATTCGACGTATCATCAGTACTGCAGCATTTATGGAAGAAAGAAATGCAGCACTCAGGAGAATTACAGACGCTCTACGTATACGAAGCAGAAAGAGTTTAGTGGTCAGTGGTGGTAAGTTTGAACATTTAATCAAAGAACGCTATGATTAATAGAATATCAATAAATTATTTTGTACCTCAGAGCCTGAAAACAAATGAAAATCGCACATTTGAGTTTTTCTTATTATTTTGACGTGTAGAAACCATTGCTGGATTTTTTTGTCATCTCAACCAAATAAATAAAGTTACAACTTGTTGATTACATACCTACATACTATATTTTTTTACAAATAACGGCATAGGTTAAGGGGTAAATATTTCCAGGATATTTGAAATTATCATAAAGCGTTAAAGTCGCTAGCATGAACCGTTTTCGATAAATATTTCAAAATCTTAAAAATGTCGTAGCAACAAGTCATTTTTTAAATAATTGTTATAATAACTGGTCTTTTTTATGAACAGATAATTATTTGACTACTAATTTCGAGGTTTATATTATCTCTAATTGTATTGTCATTTTTAAAACAATAACACAAACGCAAATATTTTTTATACAAGGTGTTAACGAAATAAGTACTCAAAATGTGAGAGTGTGTAAAACATGTCGCAATATGAAAACCTTAGTAGAGTTTTTCTCAGTGGCGGCCCCTAAGGAAACAGTTTTTATTACATAACTTCAAAACGGTTTAATATTAAATCACAAAATTTTGGGGTTGTATTACTATTTGCATACTTAATATCCGGTATAACATACAAATCAAAATTTGCTACAGGGGTGTAAGAAAATGCGGGACCATGCGTCAAATTTTACATTTTTTTTGTGTACGCAATTTTTTCCAGTTCCCGAGCCGAAAATATGAAAATTTATCATATTTTGCATAAAAAAGGTACCTTGGTTAGATTTTAATAGCAAGAGCCGTTTTCTAGCAAAATCCATTTCAATAATTTATTACGTGTTCAAAAATTCCTGCTGCAAAGTAAACGTACCAAATTGTGCCATGAAAAAATGACTATTTGTGATACTTAACAGAGAAATTTGATTTAGGTACTGTAATAAACATCAAAGGACTCCGCGCGGATCACCTATCCTGTTCAAATTTCTCAAATTCGAATTTTGAGTAGGTAATCTAATGAGTAATTGACATAATAATAATTGAAACCTCTATTAAGTGTCATAAATAATAATTTTTTCATGGCACAACTTGATATATTTATTTTACAGCAGGAGTTATTGAGTACATAATGAATTATTAAAATGGATTTTACTAGAAAACGGCTCATGCTATTAAAATCTAACAAGAGTACCTTTTTTATACAAAATATGAAGTTTTCACATTTTCGGTTCTGGAACTAAAAAATATTACGTACACAAAAAAAAATTAAATTTTGCCTCATGGTCCCGCATTTTCTTACGCCCCTCTAGCATATTTTGATTTATATATTATACCGATTATTAAGCATATAAATAGTAGTACAACCCCAAAATTTCGTGATTTAATATTAAACCGTTTCGAAGTTATGCAATAAAAACTGTTTCCTGAGTTACGCTTTCAAGAGGCCGTATTTCGTATTTCCCTTAGAGGCTGCCACTGACAAAAACTCTACTTTCAGATTTTCATCATATTTCGACATGTTTTACACACTCTCAAATTTTGAGTACTAATTTTATTAACACCTTGTATACAGGGTGTTTCAGGATTAAGTCGACAAACTTTAAGGAAATATTCCTCATAAAAAAATAAGAAAAAAATCAAGTATATTTTTTCCAGAGACGCTTCATTTTCGAAATATAGGGCGTTAAAGATTTTTTAAAAAAATCGAATTTTTTAAATAACTTCTAAATGAAGAAGGCTATTTAAGCCAAATTTGGCATGACACATCTTCTTATAAGATACCACTTTTTAATAGAAGTAGAAGTTTGAACAAAATATTTTTTAAATCATTTCATTTTTGATTCACTTTTCGCTTTATCTAAATATGTCTAATACTATCGGTTAAACTCAAGGGAAGGGGAGACAAAAAGGCTTATTTGACTCACGCATACTCGATACTAAGACCAATTTTAATAGGTACTATATTTTTTTAGATGTTATGGGGAACGTCTTCCTAAAGTTTATCGACAGAATCCAGAAGTACCCTTCCGACAAATCAATTTTGCCATGAAACTACATATAAGAGTTAGGAAAAAAAGTGCATGTACACTTTTTGTCAATAACAAACTGTTCTATCTAAAAACAAAATCATTTTTATTTTCATTAAGACCGTATTAATTTTTTTTATAATTTAATGAGTCTGAGTCCCCATAACTCCGCCACTGGTTGCTTGCGGGACTTCTACTTCTATGGAAAAATGGTATCTTATAAGAAGATGTGTCATGCCAAATTTGTCTTAAATAGCATTCTTCATTTAGAAGTTATTTAAAAAATTCGAATTTTTTTTTAAATCTTTAACGCCCTATATTTCGAAAATGAAGCGCCTCTGGAAAAAAATTTATACTTGATTTTTTCTTATTTTTTATGAGGAATATCTTCTTACAGTTTGTCGACTTAATCCTAAAACACCCTGTATAAGTTCTCTAATAAAAATGTTCCTAAAATTGTTGATAAAGAACAATTACCTATTTAATTATAGCAAAATTATAAAAAATATATTAAAAAAATGTAACAAAATATATAATTTTCAATTTTGAAATTCTTTTTTCAATTTACTTACTTAATTCTTAATATTGTAAGAAATATATTTGTTTTATTCTGTAAGTAAATACTAGTAATTGTTTTTTATAAAAAATAAATTCATTAATTAATCGATTGTAAGTAAAAAAGAATAATTAATTATATTTCATTTAATTTAAAAAATATCCCTAATAAGTTGAATTAATTTTTTGAATACATCAAATACAGGTAACTAAGTAAATTGAAAAATGCATTTCAAAATTAAATATAAAAAATTATTTGTTATATATAAATAATTGTTTTTTATCAATAATTCTAGAAACATTTTTATTATAAAAGTTACATTAAAAAATCCTAGGTCCTGAAGATGTATAATCCAGGTTCCGAAACTAATGGTAATTATATTTTATTAAATAGAATTGTAAGACTCCCTTAACACCGGTAATAAATGATAAAAATTCAGGCAATCTCCTAAACAAACAAACTAAAACGTTACATTTTTCTCAACAGTTTTTAACTTGGAATACATTTGGAACACATCAGATATTTTCAACTTCATTCAGAAAATAAAGTGTCTCCAGACATATATTTTTTATTGGCTCGTACAAGCTTTTTTGTCTTTGCACTCTGAACTATTACAGCAATTTATTATTGCAGTCCAGAAGCTTTTATCCGGATTAGAGCATTATCATTACTTTTAACGATTTTTTTTCTCATATCATCTCATTGCATACATATTGTTTTATTAATTCATCTTTAGATTTTGTTTGAACCGTCCGGCTATACTTAACATATCTTATAATATAAATGTTTGTGGTATATTATAGACTATTTATATGTATTTATCGGAGCTAAGTTGGGATTAATGTTGTAATACGCAGAATCTTCTTTAGTATAGATTTTATGATGTAATAAAAGAAACATCGTTTTAATATTTTTAAAACTTATTATTTACTAATATATTTAAACATTATGTATTATCTTCTACTGACCAGAGACTTTAGGAATATTTGGTTGCAATTACAAATGTGTGATACAAGAAACTAATAATGATGTTCTCCTTTAGAACCAATTCCTTGAGCACTGGCTGTAGCGACGGCCGCCCCAGCTGCAGCTGCGTTAGACTGGGCAACTTGAGCGGACTCAGCTGCCCTTTGGGCGGAGATTTCGGTTTCGTGCAACTCAGCCACAGCGTTCTCGATGCGGCTGAGAATGCGAGCAACGCGTTGTTTGGCTTCCGTGACCATGGACTGCTGAGTGGCAGCTACTTTTGAAGATTCAGAAGCGGCTTGCTGGGCGCTCTGGGCACCGCTTTGAACAGCTGCGATGGCAGCGCTCAAACTAGAAACTTGGGCTTGAGCTTGCTGGGCAGTGGAAAAAGCAGCTTGGGCGGCGGCTTCCGTCTGTTGATATTGGGAGATTTCTTGCTGGAGCTGATGCTGAGCATCTGCAAGTTGTCTTCTGAGGTTCTGGACAATGGCTTGTTTGCCTACGAGGGCAGCTTGAGCGGTCTGGGCAGCCTGAGGTAAGAAAGAGTAATTGATTAGTAAGTTGTTGTAAGTATATAGAAGGGTTTCTTACTCCTAAGGCAGCACTGGCGAAGCTGCTGGATACTCCAAATGCGGCCTGACTACCAGCTGTTTGTTGGTTCTGGACAGCATTGTTGGCCTGGAGGGCGGAGCTATGAGCGAGACTGGTAAGTTCCGCGCCATTGCTATCGGAACCACCGTGCTCCTCAAACTCTCCGCCATAACCACCAGCTTCATAACCACCGGAAATTGAGTGGATGGATTCCAAATCATGGCTCGCCTGAGGTTGGGAGTCGGCAGCTTGAATTTTCTGCTTGGCAACGCCAGCAGAGGCAAGACCAACTGGAAACGATGATTGTGAATATATTTATTTCCATTCGTATTGAAATAATGACGAGATTGAAACTGGAATTATTTTTTAAGGGGTTCCTACAAATTTGCACTACGAAAAATTTAAGATATATCTAAGCCTATATCTACCTATATCTAATGCCCAACCACAAGCTAACTAACTTATAGAATAGAATGCACTTAATATAAACATATTTAAAACAAAACATTGTCAACAGATTCTTAAAGTTGTTACAGTTTCGTAAGGAGACATTTATAGGAACACCCTGTAGAAAGTTGCAGTTTTGCTTAATATTTTTAAATTTATAAATACAACAAATTTAGACATAACTACAATTCACTATTTGCACCATAAAAGTATATGAATAATTCAAATTTAGTATTCTCATAAAAATATAAAATTCTTCTTCAAGATTTCAATACTTCCTGTCTGGACTTCCTTGACTACATTTAAAACATTGTTTTGTAGTAATTTTAAGGTGACTCAACATTAAATTAATATTTATCTATGAAATGTCCATATAATAAATATTAAAGGTCTTATTATAGTACCATCAAAATGACATTAATTAATTGGATTAGTATCAACAAAGTACAGAACACTATATTAAAAATCACTTAAAAACATGACTCACCAGCGCAGACGGCTAGCACGAAAAAGCGGAACATGGCTGAAAGCAAAAAGTAAATTTTGATCATCTGCTTATTTTTACATTAATCACAATCACTTACTGCTTATTTGATTTGGGAGTAATCCAAGTAGTTATGAAGCTAGAAACCACTGACGGCTTGAGGATTTCTGTCGAGTATTTATATAAAAATTTGGTGAGATTACCGCTCTGTTTGGGTGGGGTTGCGGGATGATCCGTTAAAAAATATTAGAGGTGCACGTACTGTAACATTATGTTAAGAGGTTTGTGTAGAGTGGATATACCGTAATTATATTCGTTTGATTGGTAATATCTACTCTAGTTTCTCTCTAGAATTATGTAATTTTTCATAGCAAACTAAATACATTAAATACATACATAAATAAGAATCTAAGAAAAATATTAATATCGACAAGGAAATATATTTCACCCTATGACCACCAGGTATTTTTTTCTTTATTGTTTCTGATATCTCGATTAAATATCTGGGGGAAAATGAAACTAAGGATAACACAAAAGTATCAATTTTTTTAAAGAATTATTAGAAATTTATAATTTCTTACAGTCCGAGTGCTTCAATTCTAAAATTACAATTTTCTTTTCCATTGCTAACATTCAAGTGGACATGAATCGCTATGGTAGACTTTCAACTTTCATTCTAAACAATTTGAAACAACTGGAAATTACGAAATTCTCTTTAGATATTGTAATGTACAGGGCGTTGCGTTTAAAACTACCCAGTTAAATATGTTGAAAACGGAATTAGATATCTAAGTTACTTAACTTCTAAGTATATGTAAATGACATTATGGTACTTTACATAACGACGTAGATGGAATTTTACAAAATTTTCCGATGCCTGGAACGATGCAAAGTAATCCATGTTAAAAATCATTAATTTTTAAGCAACTTTTGTCATATTAACCATTTTTCAAAAACCACGAATTTGGATTATAAGTACTTTGGAACTTTCTTATTAAGTTGATGATAATAAAAATTACTTCATATACGAAATCTGTTTAGAAAATAACCGAAATTTATTTTTTAAACTATATTATTAATTTTATACATTATTGGTCCGTATCTCTTTCAAAGTACTGCCCTCCCCTATTCACATACTTTTCCCAGTGGTGTTTCTATTTCGCAAAGCAGTCCTGAATAGTTTCATTTGAAACGGCCTTATGTGACGAATTTGCTTTAATGTCATCGATAGTCCGAAAACAGCGTCATTTCAGTACTGACTTTAATTTCGGAAATCAGAAAAAAGTCGCAAGGAGCCAGGTCTGGCAAGTAAGGAGGGAGCGGGGAACAATAATTTGATTTTTAGCGCAAAACTGACGAATTGACAAAGCTGGGTGTGTGGGCGCATTATCATGAGTTGTCCCGCCACAACTCTGATCTCTTTTTGTGGATTTGTTCATGTAACCGTTGTAAAACGCCTTGATGGTACACACGGTTCACTGTTTCACCTTGACACAAAAATTCAAAATGCACAATTTCATTAAAGTCGAAAAAACAGTAAACATTGGATCGAAACTGACGTACTTTCTTAGGCCATGGAGATCATTTGTCGTAACCGTAAACCCATATTCCGTTATGATCCTTTCAATGAATGTTTCGTTGTCATTGGATTGTTTAAAGAGTTGCCGACAAAGGTTCACACGATTTTCTTTCTGTTGTTAGGTCATCAAACGAGGAACAAATTTTGCTGCAACTCGATGCACGTTCAATTTTTTAGTCAAAATTTCATAGCATGACCCAATTGAGATGATAATCTCTTCTGCAATTTTTCTAACAATCAATAGACTATTTGTACGCACCAGATGTTTGACTTTCTAAAAGTGGGAGTCATCAGTTGAAGGCAAAGGCCTTCCTGTCGAGGATCATCTTCAATTGACTGATGACTACTTTTAAAACGTAAAAATCATTTATAACATTACGTACGACCCAGAGCATCATCTCCGTAAGCTTGTTTCAAAAGTTGCATCGTTGTTCCGGAAAACAATACATTTCAAAAATTGTCATTAACATTTAAACCCGTTTGTACTCGAATAACAATATCACGAAAACTAAATGAGACATCAACAATCCAAGAACATGTGATTATAAATGAGGTTATGCGCAACGTTATGCTATGTCACTAAATATCTCCATTAGAGCGTAATTGAAATAGTTCGGTTATTTTCTCCTCATAGGTACTTTCCGTTTCACCGAAAATTATTATACTTTTTGCTTCGCTTAAAATGTATTACTAAGAAAGGTATTGTACATATCTTCAATTAAAGCAGTTATTATGATAAATATCCTTTAAGACAACAATCTTTTTTGCAATTTAAAAAATGACTGCAACCATAACTAATTACGAAAACATTACGACAACTTTTGTTTTTTAAAACGTGCTTTGAGGTTAAATATCTGAAAAACAAATGAATTTTTAACAATCATTTTACAAAAGTTTATAAGAATTTAATCATTTTTCACGTTATCAAAGATTTGATCATCGAAAAATTTCTTGGATTTGCTACGCCATACAGGGTGTTTCTAAAATAGGGTTCCAAATTTCTGCTGCGTTTATAACTCATTAAAATAAGCCAAAAAGTTCCTATTAACATGTGCCCTAAAACGCATCCTTAGGAAGTTATATGCCCTTAAAAGGGCTCAAACAAAACTTAAATTTTCCACTCACCACTTTTACTAATTAAACATTACGAAGCTCAATTGACAGTTTATCAATAACTTAAATTGTTAAGCGTTGTGGCAACGTCAGTCTTTTATTTGCCATGGTAAACAGATTTTTGTAGTTTTTGGCCTAATAACTTAAAGAGCAGAGTAATTTTCAAACTCAATTTACTCGAAAACTATTGGAAATATCGATTTGGACAAAGATAATATTTTTTACGTAAAATTGTTAAAATTTTATAAATCTGTAGAGAAAATTGTAAAAACATTGAAATAAAAAAATTACGGGCCGAAAACCCCCTTCACCAACCTAGACGGGACGCATATGATTTGCATGTCGAAAAACGGAGTAGCCCATGTTATTTAACGTAAAAAGTTATGTAAGACCCATAAATTTTTTTCTATTTATTTGCGACCGTTTTGTCAATAACAGAAAAAAAAACAGTTTTGTTTGAGCCCTTTTAAGGGCATATAACTTCCTAAGGGTGCGTTTTAGGGCACATGTTAATAGGAACTTTTTGGCTTACTTTAATGAGTTATAAACGCAGCAGAAGTTTGAAGCCCTATTTTAGAAACACCCTGTGTATACCGAAGTTATTTATGTCAACTACACATCTTTTACGGAATTTAAATATCTCTTTTGGTTTTTAAATTATTATCGGGCTGGGAAATTTTTGTATATGATATATAACTACCAAAATACGGGAATTACAGAGAAAGTGAAAGTAATGGCATTTTGCTATACAAAACTTGTAAACTTAAACTTAAAAAAAAAATTAATATACGAAATTTTTTGTCATTTTTGATATGTAGAAATTATTTAGAACGAAAATTATCTCTTAACTTTTTATGTACTGTTTTGGTACAAATTAGTACTTTGTAAAGATGTTTTGATAAATGCACAATTTATCTAAACGATTTTAGACAATGTATTTAAAATGGCGTTCCTGTTCTTCATTACAATTTTCGATATCTTCTCGCATACCCATACCATTTTAAAGATTCTTTATCCCGATGAATCTGCTGATAATCTTGTTTTTTTTTTAACTTCAGTATGTCATTTAGTTTTGTGTATATGTATATTTACTTAAGGTTATTACTTTGACATCTCGATGATATTTCATGGCTTTTAAATTAAGTTTTGCTCAAGGTTAAGACAAATTTTCTGTTATAAAACACTGACATTTTTGCAATATTTCGAAGATGTGTTTTAAACATGATTCCATTGCTGTGCAAATTAATTACGGCTAATACATTTAACAATGTAAACTAGCTTACTAGCTGACTGACTATTACATTTAATAAGTAACAATGAATTTGAGTCAAAAAAAACCTACCTATGTAGACGCTAAGTGAATAACTATAACTCTTGCATTTAAATACCAATATTTTATAGCTCGTAACGTGTAGAAACTATGAAGAGAATATGCAGGAAATAACCATATACCGGTGTTTATTGTTGTACCAATATTCCCCAGGGGCTAACAGTTGCTGCGGAAATAAATCCATAACTGGACGATGACGAACAGAAGCTGACTTATATGTAATTATGGATTGCTGGCAATACTAGATATTGATATAAATCAGATTGGATTAGTTTGAGTAATATGTTTGATATCATAGTTATTATTATAATAGTCGTGTGAAGAAACGTAAGCGAACATATACGACTTCTTTCCATATTCGCTTGTAGGTATAGAAAACTGATGAAATGTGTTACCCAATATCTAATACATACAAAATTTGCCGATTTTAATTCATCTTAGCATACATAGTATGTTGTAGTATCCTCTCTAGAACTTTCTCTATTTGTTATACAGGATGTCATAGAAGTACTGCGAAATTTTAAGGAAGTTGATATAATTTGAAAAAATAAGAAAAAATAAGATTTTTTTACATTTGTCCCAAAACCCTCAATTCCTGAGAAAAATGGAAAGGTCACATCAGTGTACGATTAGTCACTAACCATAGTGGCAAGTGAAGTGAATTGAGTAATGAATTTCAGATTATACAGGATGTCCAACAAGAGAGTGCACAAATTTTAAGGGGATATTTTAAAAATAAACAAAAAAGAGTATGTAGGTACACAATTTTTTTTACTATTTCACAAAGTTTTGTTGGGTAAAAGCTACATTTAGTATTTACAATACCCTGCTAGTATCGGATTGAAAAACTAACTTTATGTTATTTAAAAGCCTATATATGTATCTATGACCCCTGAAAGTTCGTACAACACACCCAGTACAACAAGTTCAATTTCATTTAAAATCTACTATAGAGTAATTTATTAATTGCTTTTTTAATCACTTCCACAACATATGCACTCTTTTTAAAGAGCACTTTCTATATTGTTACATTCATCTTTAACATTTGTTAAGTGAAATGGTATCATTTTATTTTAATTTATTAAATATTTACGGGTTTATAAAAAAAATATTCCACTGAATTATTTGATAAGTCAGTTCATGTAAATTTTAGTTTGGTCTAGTTTCAGTCTAGTTAAGTTTTAGTAAAATGATTCTTATTTTAAAATATATGAATAGAAGTAATGTATTAATTCATGTTACAATGTATTAGGAACAATCAGACAACAGAGGAAAACAATACATTGCTCTAATTTTTATAGAAATAACCGTTTTTAGATAACTGATAAATTATTCAACCTAAGATATAAACCCAAAAAATATATGTAATGTTTCATGTCATATCCTCATATAGACACAAGTGATCCACTAATCTGTAGCTGTGTTGAATACATGAATACTTAGTACCCCACTCGGAAGAATACATTTTTTAATTAATGATATGGTGGGAAACAACTATTCCATAGGCTATATGCCCTGGCTAGTATTGAATTACACCTTAATATCCAGTAAATAGTTAAGGTCATTCATCAAGAGAATCACCAGACATATATCGGTTTCGAACTTATTTGTTCTCATCACTATGCCATAGGTGAGACGTTCGGCGAATGATCTTAACTATTTACTAGATATTGGGGGTGTAATTCAATGCCAGCCGTAGTATATAGCCCGTAGAGTAATTGTTTCCTACAATCTCACTAGTTAAACAATTCAAAATACTTCTTCAAACTTGCTACATTTAGAAAGCTGTCATTATAGTTAAAACCTTCATTTAGTTAATTTCTGAAATTTTAATGTAATAAAAATCTGATGGGTATTATTTCTTATAGTTTATTATATATCAGAATTTTTAAACCTTATTATTTTCTACTGACCAGATAGATACATTATTAATTTTAAAATTACAGTGCTCGATGCAGTATACTAATAATGATGATGACCCCCTTTAGATCCAATTCCTTGGGCACTGGCGGTAGCTACGGCTGCGCCAGCTGCAGCTGCGTTGGATTGAGCCACTTGAGCGGATTGAGCTGCCCTTTGGGCGGACACTTCAGTTTCGTGCAACTCGGCAACAGCGTTGTCAATACGGCTGAGAATCTGAGCCACACGTTGTTTAGCTTCAACGACCATGGACTGTTGGGCGGCTGATACCCTGGCAGCTTCAGCAGCGGCCTGTTGGGCGTTCTGGGCGCCGCTTTGGACCGCAGAGATAGCGGCGCTCAAGCTGGTGACTTGAGATTGGGCCTGCTGGGCGGTGGAATAGGCAGCTTGAGCGGCAGATGCAGTCTGTTGGTACTGGGTGATTTCCTCCTGGAGTTGGTGTTGGGCGTCGGCCAGTTGTCTTCTGAGGTTTTGCACAATGGCTTGTTTGCCTACGAGGGCAGCTTGAGCGGTTTGGGCTGCCTAAAAGAAGAAATAAAAGATAATAATTGTGAAACACCATTATATGATCATATTACATTGATTTTGCAGCTTTTGAGAGAAACATTTCGCTTGTCAGTCTTTGCTAATTCTGTTTATGTTATATTTATTCGACAGAAAACAACACGTATTTATTATACTGCACTCTCGAAATTTCTACACACATGGATTGATATTACTCTTTCGTGCTCTAGTTAAATCTAAGTTGGAATATGCTGCTATAATTTGGAAACCTCTCAGCAATGTTTAGAAAGACAACATTAACAATATTTGAAGGCGTTGAAATGTCTGTCATTTAAGTAAGATTCTGGAGCAACTGGAACAACTTATAATCAAGTATTAGCTAAATTTTCTGTACCAAGTTTGCATGAACGAAGGAAAGTGTCCTCCTTGATCTTTCTCGTTAAATTAATGAATAATAAAATTGACTGTATTGAACTTATTCAATTCCAATATTCCAATAACATAAATTAGATCTCCTATTATTTTTTTCTTTGACACACCAAAATCTAATATGTCAGATGTTTTCTTTTAAACACAGTATGTAAGAACTGAAATTGAAATTCACGACAGTATTGGCATTTTTAATTATAGCTATGGTTAAACTAAGGTTAAAGAATTTAGACTGAGAACAAGACTGAGTCATTGTATTAGGTCAAAAAAATTCTTACACTATTACATCAAATCAAAGACCTTGAGCTTCTCGGGAACTTGGTTCTTTATAAATAAAAATAACTATTTTTCCATAGACTCACTCTTGATCAATAGATTTTCACTATTTATTTTTTCATATTTAATTTAAATAATAAATTGTGTTAATCCAAACAACTAAAAGCATTTCAGGTTGACAATTTATCTCCATTTAAGAAGTAATTTTAATTATTTTAATTTTTGTTTTAATTTAAGTAAAATGCGAAGAAGTAAATGTTAAAATAAGGTTCTTGACCAAGACTGACATTTCCATGGAAAAATAGTTATTTCTATTTATAAAGAAGCAAGTTCCCAGAAGTTCCAAGCCTTTGATATGCTGTATGAAGCTCTTGTATATAATTTTGTCATTGTTATATCTTCCCATGTTTTAAACGGTTCAAATATTTGTTAACTGAGTAATTAAGTAAATAAAAAATATTTTTTCTTACACCAGTGGCAGCTGTGGCGAAACTGCTAGCTACTCCGAAAGCAGCCTGACTTCCAGCTGTGCGTTGGTTCTGGACAGCATTGTTGGCCTGGAGAGCGGAGCTATGAGCGAGACTGGTAAGTTCCGCGCCATTGCTATCGGAACCACCGTGCTCCTCAAACTCTCCGCCATAACCACCAGCTTCATAACCACCGGATATTACGTGGATGGCTCCCAAATCGTGGCTCGCCTGCGACTGAGAGTCGGCGGCTTGAAGGCCTCGCTTGGAGACCCCAGCAGAGGCAATACCAGCTAGAATGTATAATTTTTTTAAATAATGTTAATTTGACTAAAATCCTCAATTTTTAAAACACATTTTTTTTCTAATATGGAAAACTTTTGTGTCGTAAAATTTTTTTTCCCCATTTTTCATGTGGGAAAACTTTTATTGTTAGATTTTATTGAATATGTATATAGGCAACTTTTGCCTTGTTAGAAACTTGCTAGAAAATTTAAAAAATTAACAATGCTCTTCAAAAATATTTAATTAAATCTAATAACCAAAGTTTTTTATTAAAAAATATTCATAGAAACGAAAATTAAGTTTTAATTACCAATATACCATAAGTAACATAAAAATTTGGGCAAAAAGAGATACTTCTACTATAGTATAGTCATTAATGCTGAAAATTAACTGTAACCTCCGAATTCTTTGAAACTGCATGGATTTGCTTGAAAATTTGGCTCATCTTAGGTTCAAGTTCAAAAGTGACATAAGCCCGATTGACGCTTTTTGTTTTTTAGGGGTAAAAACTACCCCTAAGTGAAAAAAATTGTAAAAATTGAGTTTTAAACATTTTATTGATAAAAATCTTGTTCAAGCTCAAAGATTAAATAATGTTCCATGTTCTCGAACATGTTTTATGATATATTCGATCTTTTCGACCCTTTAAAGATGTGGAATGATTAAATCGTGTAATTATTTAAAATAAAAGTTACGTTATAGCTAATAAAATAATTTTTCCCTTTCAACCCCTAAAAACCACCCCTGTATTGACAAAAATTATAAAAAATTACTTTTTAAAAGCTTGGAATGCTTTAACGGTGCAATTATTTAAAATAAAAATTTTGCTCCGAAAAAATGCATTGGTTTTTTTTACCATAACTCTGTTAATTTTGAAGCTATAGTATTCTACAAAAAAGCATTTTAAAGATAATTTCAAGAGCTGTAAGATCGTTTGCATATAAAACCTTTTAAGTCCTTCGTTTTTTAAAGGGAAAGGATCGAAGGGCTCGAGACAGGTCGTTTTTCCACTAAAATGGATACTTCAAGCGGCGATATCTCCTTTATTTTGTATGCTATAGGAATAAAAATAGCAAGATATTTGTTGAAAAAAAAGCTACATTTTTATTGTCTATAATTTTTTACTTATCTTTCATAGTTTCAGAATTATTATATAAATAAGGCAATTTTCTTTTAACTTCTACATTATTCAAAAAAAACGCATTCTAAACCGGTCTAACTTCAGGATTCTATGAAAAACACTAAAACAAAACTAATTGTAAAGGGTCTACGATTAATTTTAATTCTGATGGAAATAGTACAGCGTTTACTGCTCATTTTTCCTTAAAAAAATATGAGCAGTCCATCTGTTTTTGACGATAATTCCTTCAATTTTGCTCTAATTAACTTTTATAAGTGCTCATTTTTCGTTATTTGACATTGAATACATCGATTCGAGTATTCCCCCCAAAACAAGTCCCCTTCCACTAATTATATTTCGCTTTGTATAGGCCGTACAACACTACGGTACAAAACGGTTTTCTATGTTTATTTATAAGCTACATTTTTGTTCATTACACTTTTTTAAATAAAATGCGTAGTGTTTGAGTTATTCGCGAAAAATACTTTGAAAAAGTGTTTTTTTTTCACACAAAATTCCAAGTTTCAATCGTGAATAACAAAAAAACTATAGATTTTCTTTTGAATATTTTTTACTAAATATTTGATACTCTATCGATTTCCAGCGTTATTTTTGAAAAAAAAATTACACTCCCTAATGTTCATTGACCTTTTCTATCTGCCAAATTTCAAGTCGATTGGTTCAATTTCAAAGAATTTGGAGGTGAAAAGCTTCAATGACTGTACTACTACATGTCGATGCAACTGTATTAACAAAAAAAATACTGAAATGACAGCATAAGAAAATATTGTGTCCTTTTTATTGTTGATTTTTCTAAAAAAATTATTTTATAAAATGTTTTTTCTTATCCTGGCAAGCTATGAGCAGTAATACAGTGTATAATAAAATATACAGGGAGGCTCAAAAAATTAAAAAATGTCAAATTTTCCTTAAGCAAACTTTTATTTTTTATTTTCGTTTGAAACTTTATTTAACAAAGTATTTTAAAAACTCAAGAAATGCTTTTAATTACAGGACTTACTCAAGAAAGAACAACAATTTTACTTGATTCAGACAAAAAGTATAGAAAATAATTGAATTTATAAAAAATAACTGTTTTTCGAAAAATCAGCAATAAAAAAAAGTTTGCAAGAGTACGGTACCCCATCCATCTGTATGTACCGACACAACTAGTTAATTGTCGGTGCAATAACTTCAGATTTTACTTAAATCGGGTTATGTTTAACAAACATAATCGCCATAATTGTCAGTAAAAATTGTCAATATTACTTTGGGTACTACTTCCAGCAGTTTGACTTTCCCAAGTTTGAACAACCTGCATAAAACCTCATCGAATGAGCTTATCAAACGTTTGGTTAAAAATGTCTAACTTTTCTATTTAATAAATAAAGTTGGAATTACAACTTACTTGATTTGTTGGCAAACTCAAATAATTTATAGGTTTAAGAATTACCTGTTATTTAAATTATATTACTGTGAGTAAAGTATTAATAACGTAGCATCAAACACCAACTAATGAACATGTAAAAATATAAAATAAAGCATCACTTACCGGTGCAGACAGCTAACAGGAAAAAGCGGAACATGGCTGAAAGTAAAAAGTAAATTTTGATAACGATCGATTTTTATTATTGGTCATTGATCACTTACTGCTGATTAGATCTGGGAAGTAATCCAAGTAGTTATGAAGCTAGAAACCACTGACGATTAGAGGATTCCTGTCGAGTATTTATATCCAAATTTGGTACAGTTACCATCCCGCCGAGGTGGGGAAATGTGGTAGTGTATAAGGTACTCATTAAAAAAAATGTTAGAGGTGCACGTACTATAACGACATGTAAAATTATTTATGTATCCAGAAGGATATAATATTCTAATTGAAATGAGTTGTACCTACCTCAATTTCTATACAAAAATATGTATATAATTAAATATAATGTAAGGTGGAATAAAAAATATTGAATTAATTATAGATTTTTCTATAATTTAGGAAAATACTTTATAGTACTTATTTTTCAGTAGTAACTATAAACAAAAGATTATAGAGGCTTTTGGTTTTCAGATCGAACCTATATGTTTTTATGGAATTTGATATGCTGAAACTAAATTTGAAGAGTAAAATGTTCATAGTTTAGATTTTTTGTAATCGCAGGAACAAATCTCTTCTATATTGAATATGCATTTATATCAATACTATATTTGGTAAATATGAAAAATACCGACTCTATCTCGATTTTATCCTAGATGGCCGATTTCCTAAGTATTTTTGAGTGCTGAACACGAATCTGATGTCCAAACTTGGCGGACGGAAATTTTTAGGACAAAAAAGGGCGAAAGAGGACAGAAACACAATTATATTGAAAAAAGAAGTATAAGGTGTGTTTTCCTATGTATTTTTGGGTGCTCAACTTAATTCCGATGTCAAAAAAGGGCACGCTGCCCTTCGAAGGGCAACAACTCTATTCTATTGAGACATCTTAAGCCCGTAGTGTTTTTTAAGAATAGCCTAATCTAACCTAACCTAACTAGTGCCAACCAAGGTTTGTGTGTGTGACCATAGAAGTGGTAAAGACTTGGTAGGTCCCTTAGGAAGGTTTGCCGCATGCATTGGTTGGCACTAGTTAGGCCAGGTTAAGATATTCTTAAAAAATACTGCAAGCCGGAGATTTGTTGCCCTTTTTGCCCTTGGAGAGTGACCTTATTTGATATTGGTTTTATGTTGAGCGTTCAAAAATTCATGAGAAAATACATCTTACACTTTTTTTTCAATATAATTGTGTTTTTGTCCTTTTTTGCTCTTTTTTGTCCTAAAAAGGGCTGTCCTAGAGTAAATTAGGGATAGAGTCAGTATTCTTCATATTTACCAAAGATAGTATTGAGATAACTCTTCAAATTTGATTTCAGCACATCAAGATCTATAAGAAATGATAGGTCGGATCTAAAAACCAAAAAGATATTTTATGTTAGTTATAGGCTTTATTCCAAATAAATTATTTTCTGTGACATTTCAGGGATCTTTCTCAAAGTGAGTGAGTATAAAAACAGGTATTACCTAGTTAATAATAAATTATCATATCACACTAAAAAATATACTTATATTTGTAATTTTAGGACTTAAAAAGTATAGACTCGTATGATATCTTGATATCACGTTAAGTTCTAAAATTATAGTAATGAATTCCTTATAATAATATCCCTATATATTTTTTACCTTTCTGTCTCGGAAAAGATGGTATAATCTTAATTTCATCGTGTTTTTGACAAAGTATATTTTTTTATGTAGGGATAATTTTTAATAGTATATTCTAAATGATACAGTAAACAAAAAAAGATGTAAAAATTTATATGATCTATACTGGAGAAAATATTGTATTAAGTTAGTACTGTGAATAAGGTGGATAAACAAGGCATTAAATAAAAAAAATTTTGGAACAGGATGAAGGTATTATAAGACGCCTTTTATAATAGATATTTATGTTAGAGAATTTAAAAATTCGATTAGGAATAGCGAAAAACAGGCATTGGTTTTATGCCAATATTGACCATAAATATATCGTGTAAACTGTCAAATAAAATATATAAATGGCATTATAACCAGAAAGAAAAGATGAATCGAATAAATAACAAATATAGGGTGTTCCATTTAAATAAACAAAATTTTGAATTATAAATTATATTTTCAAAATGCAACAGTAAATTGTTTTTTTATATGTATATTGCTTTAAAATCGCAAGAAAATTTCCTAAACATAACCTCCTGAGTTAATACAATAAAACAGAAAATAAAATAGGTTGTAAACAGAACTTATTCCAAAAGTAGTGAAGGAAGTTTTTAATACATTTTAAAGAGTATCAAGGACATTTATTACGATTTTTTCGGAAAACATAATATTTTTAGAAAAACAAGCAACGCAATTGACTAGAGATGAAATTAAAATTTTACCATTTAAAACCACTTTCCGTTTATTGAACAAAATTTCATTCAAATCAATTGGTTATTTCTTTTTTTAACTTTAACGCCTGCAACTTATTTTGAATTTAAAATTTTTTTAATGCTAAATGGTTCAGTTTTCTGTTTCCAATAAAACGGAAGACATATTTGTTTAAAAATAACATAGGAATTAAATGCCCTTATTAAAGTTTTAATTGTGCCTCTCAGTATTTCAGGCACTGGTTGACAGATTTGTCTACCGGTTCATAGACTAAACATCTTCAGAAATATTTAAATAAATGTGATATTTTTTACTTTCAACACCCTGCAACTCGTAAACAATTCCGATTTCCCTTCCAAATAAGTAATAATGTTATTAGAGTTAAGTTAAAATTCTGCTTCAGAACTATATTCCAGCTTTCAATATACTGGATCATTACTCACTTGGAGAGAATTTTTAATGGTAATTAGAATGCATTAACAAAAAACATTTTCAATAATAAAAAAACGTAAAATTAAAACAAACCACTGGCACTGCATAGCAGTGCTTAAAATTAATAACAATTAAAACTGTTAAAACTTATTGAGAACATAAGAAAAGGTGAATAATAGTGACCGGAACTCTTTTTTGTCCGGTTCTTTGTTAGAATTTCAAACAAAATTTTTAGTCAATAAATCTTTAAGCAAAGTGAATTTTTCTAGATTTTTACTTCTTTGTATTTTCTTTATGTGAAAAGAAAGTTGGTGTGTGATGTGTGCGTTAATAAATATGAATAAATCATACAAAAATTTATGTGCAGCGGTTTGTGAACAGAATCAGTCGAGCTATCGATGGAGTCAGAGGTTCCAAAAATGTATCTTTGTATTATTGCTTTCGCACCACGATTTATTTACTCTTCAATTCCAAGCTAACTTTCAATTATAAGTTGTTCAACAAATGGAGTAATTTGTTGGGCAAAAATACTGAATAGTGAGGACATCTATTAACATTTGTTGTTTGAATCGCAAATGGGTTAAAACAAGCTTCAGAATGTGTTCAACTGACTTCAGCTTTTAATTATTATTCAAAGAGAATATCCCATCTATGTAGTTTCCAATTTTTTGTCACTGAGTACCTATTACCAAAAATTATACCAAATTTTTATCAGGAATTTACTTTATTGAAATGGTTACAACATACCATTAACCATATTCATTCTGTTTTCTTCTGAATGATTTTTAATCAGTTTTCCTGCACAAATGAGTATGTACTAAATACGAAAATGCACTCAAACGAAACGGCCGCTGTAATAAGCAATTAAACACATTCGTGTAATGGCTGTACTAATAAGTATATCTTATCTCCATATCATTAAATACTGTAGGCATATTATTAATAACTATCGTCACAAAATTAGCTGGAACTGGACCCTAGAGAAAGAAACTGATTGCCTTTAATTTAACCACGTTCTATGATTCAACTTGTAGAAACTTTGAGGAAAGATACAGAAAAAACCGTAATGTATACTTAGTGATGACTAAAGATCTAACTAAAATTTAAAAATTGTAGCAATAAATTCATAGCCGTGATAACTGGACGGTGACCAACAGAAGCAGAACGTACTCAACGGATTGCCGCAGGCAAAAGTTATCGATCTTACATAAATCAGATTTTATCCTTGGGTAATATCCTACTACATACCTACTAGTTAATAATAGCAAACCGTGGCAACTTAAGCCAACATATGAATTCTTCTTATTTTCACCTGTAATCTTTGTAATCGATCTAAACGATACGAAATGAGTTAATATTGTTTTCCTGTAGCACCATATTATATTATATACCAAGGAATCTAAAAAATGCCATATGAATAGTTTGTAAGAGATATTTCGTTATTATTTTGTTTCTATCATAAAAATTCAGTACAGGTTAGAGTGCAAAAAATAAAAAAAATCTTAAAAACTAAGTTCGACAGCACAAAACAATTTTCATGTTCAAAACCATAGCCAAAGTTTTGTAACGATTTGAAAGTTTTGCGCTATAGTAAATAATTACCAAAACGGATTAAACATTTCTTCTTATATGAACATAGATCCGATTCGTTTTTATTTAGAAGCTACAAGCATTAAAAAAATATAATTTCATATTTCAATCAAAGCAGCCTGATAAATAAAAAAAAATGGTTGCTATAACAGGAATTATTATTTGTGTCATTTTGTTTAATCATTTGACATTTAGCATTAAAGTGCTAAATAAAACATGCATTTATTTGCAACTGAAGAGTATGCAGATATGATTGTCTTTGTATATGGGTATTTCAATGGGAAGGCCAGACAAGCAGCCCGAGAATACCAACGAAGATATCCAAATAGACATCAACCTGCCCACACAGTATTTAGGGCATCATTTCCTAGACTTCAAGAAGACGGTAACCCCGCCTCAAAAAAGCCAATCGTCCTACTGAAGTGAATGTACAAAATGTAATCTTCATTTATCACCGAATTTTGTATGGCGTTTATTGAACAGAGAAATGTTACATCCGTTTCATCGTCAAAATGTACAAGCGTTACATTCTCCTCAGTCAGCAGCAATTAGAATTTTGACGCTGGGTACTTTAATAACATGCACAAGGTGATAGTTTCATTTTGCTTGTCATATGATCTGATGAAGTAATAGCTACAACTGTTTTTAAGTATGATAAGTTACTTCTCCAAACATTACTTTATACAAAAATACGATTATAAGATACCCCTTATGATATTTTTAATTGGGTGTAACT